TATCTAACATTTCAAACATCTACGAATTAAAACGCAAAATACTTACATTTAAACCTTACAACGCCTATATAGATTTTCTGAAAATTAGTTTACTTCCCTGTAAATTTGTATTTTAAAGCAATATTTTGGGTATTTATATTCAATGCACGGAAAGAATCAAAGGGACCGGGAAAAGTTTTTCCGTGCGCTAGCCTGGAAAAGGCCAGATACCATTATTTCTAATACAGGTGTAAATAAGGTGATTTCAATTAAGTATAATAAAAAAATTATTTCGTGTTTGTATTCCCGTAAAGGCATGAAATGTCCATAAGGGCCGTTAATCGAAAAAACAAATTCGCCTCCTGCTCTCAAATGGCTTAACGATTTTTTTAAATATTAGTAGAATAATCCCTTCCCACTCCTTTGGTTAATACCAACCGTTCATCCACGACATGTTTAGGATTCCTTCAGAGTCATCCTTATTTATTGTTCTAAAAAGTATTTTTTCCTCTTTCTTTTCTTGAACCAGTTCCTTAATTTTACTACTGCACTACATTTTTATTTTGTTAAATTACCCCACATACATTTTCGACCGTCCCGAGTAATATACAGTGTGTTCGAGATAAGAGGGTCACTCCAGTATCTCTTTTATTTGGCGAGCTACGAAAAATATAATTTTATTACGTAATAATCGTGTAAATGTCGCGCCTGCAATGCACCAACAGAAAAATTTCTGAAACAACAAAGCAAATCCAGTGGGGCGAAGAACAGGTTATTCTTTAAGTAAGCCCATGGGTTAAATTCCCAAAATATTCGCTTCGGTGAACACCCTTGAAACAAAATGAGGAAAACTATGATACAGATTTTAATACAAGGTTGGTTTTGTGGCTGATGCTAATCGTACTTATACTAAATATTGAAGACAAGAAAAATGCTTTGTCAATAAAATACTCTCACGCACAATTTTTGTTCCCAGCAATGAGTAAGGTTCACACGAAGGTTTTTTTTTCAACGTTACTAGCTACCACGGTACACCGAACGCGCGTCTATTTGGTCCTTGACCCGTATTATAAAAATGATATCAAATTGTTATTGCCATTGCTCTACCTGGACCTCTGTACCCCATTGTCTTAATGCAATCCGAATTTTGGTATTGGACGTTTTTGAGATTGTAGAACAATGTTTGATAGACCTTCTTCCATTTAAGAGGATGGGAAAAGTGATCTTGAAAAAAATTGTTTGCCAGAAGAATCTGTACGTAACCCCAAAAACCACTCAGCCAATGCTTACCATTATTTTGAAACACCTCTCTCGTAAAAAATAAGGGAGGGTTATTTTGAATCTTGGGGCTTTGTTAGTCCAAATTAAATGAAAATGCCATTTCACAAAATCCAATTTGAATCAATTGGTTGATCATGATATGAACTTCGACTATTAGCAGAAGATTGGAAACTTTGGAGAGAAAGTTGAAGTAAAATGTTCAGATGACGGTTCTCCGTTTACCAACATCATATGACACTATCTTGGCAACTTTTTTAGAAATCCTTGAAATGACGCAATAATTAATTTAATCTTTCTAAAGACCTTTTTGTAAATCTACCGATTAATTTGATTAAAAACCTTCAAATACTTACAAAAGCAGATTCTTACAGAACAACGTATTTTCTTGAACACTCAAAAACCTTAGTTTTTTTTTTAATTTTTGAAGGGAGATTTTTGAGATCTTCCCACAAAAAATTATTAGAAGAACTTGATTTCATGAAAAGTAACTAAATTTTATATCATTTCTCTTTAGTCTGAGATTACGTTAGTAGAGCATAATCGAATTTTATACAGACAGATAAAGTTATCATTTTTGAGATTTATTCTAATTCAAACCGTTTAGGCATTACAAATCATAGAAGGTCTAAAGGGTGTCAAATTTACACAGGTGAATTTTCCAATAAATTGTATGGCTAGTGGAATGGGGGTTTACAGTATAGTTGAATTCCGCAGTTCTAATTTAATAAGCGTGTACCTGAAACCATAAAACATTTTTTTGGACAGTAAAAGTTTATTTAAAAATAGAGGCTGATTAGCAAAAAAATAATGAACATGTGCGGTTTTAAAGGTTTATTCAAAACGATATGATTGTGGCGGGCTCTGTGACGTAATAAGCCCGACCAATCAGCTCCTAGAACCATTCAGATGACATAACGACTTGGCAATATTGCAGGAGAATGGCATTTATAACTTGCGTCATCTGTCACAGGCACTTGTCACTTTCGTGCTAGATGCAGTTAAACATCCCTCTCAAAACGTCAAATGTGACAAACGTCAGACCCTCGCGTAAGGTTGCCAGCTCACTTCTACGTGATTGGTTGTAGGTTTATGACGTATTTAGACTGAAGCGTTTCAAATTCGGACTAAAAACACAGCTTTTCAATAATTTATTTTGGGTTTTATTTTACTCGCAAATAAAAATTGAGGACACACGGGTCTTTTTATTTTTAATGTACTTTGTGGATCAGAAATAAAAAATGAAGGCGGGATGACCCCATTGTAAAAAAAACGTCTGTAAGCGATTGGTGGGATTGACAAACGTTTTCTCTGCGTCTTTTGATTTCTATAGCGCATTCTTCTCTTAGTAGATTAAGGAAGGTTATGGTAACAAGATCTAAAATTCGTATTTTAACTATGTTGCTCTGCTTAAACCACAGATAAGCTGTAACGATTTATTTTCACCCTTACGAACCAATATTATTGTTTATGGTTTATTACTTGTTGAAAGATCTCCGTAACGTTTGAAGCGATTTTGATAGATGGCTGCATCTATTATTGGAATTTAACAACGCAATTTTACCGCGCAGTGGTTGTCGATTGCCACCTTCCTTTTCCTTCATACGCCGCACGTCGCTTAATAAAACAGTTAAAGCGTAAGGTAGAACGTATGGAATTTTAATTGCTATCTTCCGTGTATTGATCTCTGGCGATTGGATTCATAACTTTCCGAAGTAATTAGTTTTGACGGGATACACCTATCAATGCTCCTAATAAGGATATAAATTTGCGTTCTTCCTTTCTTATTGTAAGTACGGCCATTTGGCTTTCGTTTATTTAGAGTGTTAGTACCTTCTTTAGGTTTCGCCTATAATTTCTTCTACTGCAATTTCCATCGACAATTGCTGCTTCATCGATGGTTAGCCATCTTATTTAAGAGGTAGGTACATTTTATATCATCAACGAAGGGGAGTTACGTTTCTTTACTTACGTAACTTTAAATGTAAGGACCAGTTTAAGTTTAATTTCAAACTCCGAACACGCCTAACATTACACACGATTCTACTCAGTATCTTTATACCATAATTTTGCAATTTCAGTTGCACATTTAGTATACTAAGAGTTTTGGGCAATGAAATTAATAATTTTGAAAATTTGGGGGAATATTTTGTATTCGTATTATACGCTGTCTAATTGTGAAGACAATTTTACTTTGAGTTGATGTTTGATAATAAACCAGTATTTTTTTCGTACCTAATTTGATTTGTACTGTTATTACTACCCTCGTATCTTCTCAATTTCATATGGGGAGAGTTTATAGATAAAAATTGAGTCGCGCTCAACGCCATTGGTAAGTGCAACCATGTTAAGAAGATCATATGCCCATAACGAAGTATCTCTGTGGAAGATATAATATGGTATATTACGCTACAGTACAGTCGGTTATTATGTACGGCATTTTAGGATGGGGTGCAGTAGCAGATTGTTATTTGCATCAATTAGAAATTTTACAGAAACGGATTATTAAAATACTTATGGGTAAAGACTATCGCTACCCTACCAATCTTCTGTTCGCTGAATCGGGATTATTAACGATTCGACAATTGTATCTGCAAAAGATTGCTACTTTTACTTTTGAGCGCAAAGATACATATAAAGTGCCTGCCCATGAACATTATACTAGAAGCAACCAAAAAACGTTAATAATCCCTAAAGCGAGTACTTCGCATGCCCATCATCATGCATTATACTTGGGTGTTAAGCTTTATAATAAAATGCCTATCTATTTAAAAAATTGCGAGACCCTACATTCGTTTAAGAAAAGGTTTAAGGATTGGCTATTAGGTGTAGAATTGGATTTTTACTCCAAGCTAACGTGATCTATATTTTTGTTTTGTTCTTTTTTTTGTATTAGTGTACTTACATGTAATATGCTCGATTACCCATCACGCACGAGCCTTGGCTTATGTGATTGTTGCCAATTTTTTTCATTATATCAATAAATAATTATATTATGTTAAATAAATACAAAAAATACAAAAATACAAAATTTTAAGCTCTTATTTTGTGTTCCAACCCTGAGCTAGTTTGCCGTTTATGCGGGGGGTTTGAGGTAACGCAGCGCCAACTCTGCCAACCGTTATAAAGCATGAGGCGATTTTGGTAGCGTGGAAAATGTAATGTGGCATATTTGATTTGTACGTGGGCTCTCGTTCGATGTGTAGCGCAGAAACGACTCAATGATTAAAGATGTCCTGTTTGCATTAATAAGAAGCCATTATGTAGGCATTAATTAAGTAATTTGCAGGTATTCGTTCTTGGGCTACGAAATCATCAGGTTACCTACGTGGTCAAAGATATTCATTTAAAAAACCGCAAGATTAATAATTCGGATATGAAAAGCAAGTAGTTTTTCGTGTGTTAATCGCGCGGTCACTGTGTGGTCAGATTAATAGTTTCCGCATTATGTTTCAAGAAACAAAAAAGTTCGTTCGCGCTTTATCTGGTTGAAAGTTGCAGTCTTTCGCACACATCCCCCTTTGTTAAGGTCAAGATCAAGTTCGCAGAACAAAATCTTCATATTGTGGCGATCCATGGGTGGATCTGAAACAGTTGTTTTTTAGTTTACATGGTGATAATTTGAATATGTCATTTAATCAAATATAAAAATATTATTAGTGTTATTTAATTCTATTCTAAACGCTGAATAGTGACCACACTACAATATATTTACAAATTTCGTCGGAAAAACAACTAAACCATTTGGTTTCACCTCCCCAAAATACCCCCAAATACGATTTATTAATATTCCAATAATATAATAATATTGAAAATGGCTAACGTTTCAACCTTCTATCAACAGTAGAGATGGATATGGTGCAGGTGATGATTTGTAAGTACCAATTAAAGTCCAAGTGGTGATGCTATTTTTCCTTTCTTACAATGAAATTCCTTTTCAATCCATGATACGGCTCTGTATAGACCGCTATAACTGCCGGAATGTGTAAGTTCACAATAATCCCATAACCCATAATCAAATATGCTATAGTACGTCATTGGTCTACTAGCTTAGAGAATGGGTAGTCAAACTCAATCATGTCAGAAACCAGCTCTCGAATCCTCGGGAGGTATCCACGTTTGGGTACAACAGAAATCATTGTGACAAGGACGTCCTCACTGTCAATATTCGAAAAATCCGGAACGTCATCGCTCTCTTTCATATTTGTCGCTAGTAGCCAAATCGCAATGAGCAACACAAACCCCGAAAGCTTCCGTAGATGCTCTAATAAGATTGGAAACGGAAGGAGAACCTCAGGATCGCTTCCGAGTTCTCGTAAGAACGACGAGAGGCTATCATAATATTCGTCTATTAATTTTGTGTAATACTGTTTTCTCAGCTCCCCGTCACTGCTTAGGAAAAGAAAAAATAGTACGTCTAAAGCGGGTGAGGCTAGATGCATCATTTGCCAATCTAAAATGCACAGCTCGGTAGGATGTTCGGGGTCATGCTAAAACATTAGAACTTGCACTTTGTTCGATGGTACCTAACAAACACTTACCCCGTACTTGAAGAGAAGGTTCCGTAATTCCATATCACCGTGAGCCACAACGGCATATTTTTTATCATCGCTGCTAACAACAAGGCCGCTTTTGTAGATGGTTGATAAATCACCTGCGAATTCCTTTAGAGCTCTCCGCTCCTTTTCACGTTGGTGCGGAGGATACGAGTTCACCACTGCACTGACCAGTCTAGTTATGCCCTTTAATGCGGGCACCTGAATACTACTGGAGAAAAAGTACTCATGGCATTGATCCTCCCAACTGTCAAAAATCTCCGGCTTTTGATCGCGTATTGCGTACGAAAGTGCGTGAAACCTACCCATCTCCCTCATAACAAGCGAAGCGTGGGGATAGTCTACGGGTATTCGGTGGTTTATAAGTCTAAACCCCCTCTTTTTTACGTTCTCCATTAGTAAAGATTCTCGCAGATTGTCAGTCCTCGACGCGTACATCCTGGCAAACGCTTGAAAATCGCGCGGCAACTTTTTCTCGTCCTGAATTCGAGAAAACTCGCATAGTATTTCCTTGTAGGCGAATATTTCCGTTTTATAGATTTCACGCACTGGCATCACAATCCTGAAGTAGTCTTCTTGAGGTGCCAACTTCACAACCAGGTGAATAGTACCGTTGTCGTCACTTACTGAAACATTGTAGATTAACCCCAGAAAATTGTCGCCATTTTCCAACGCGCTGTTTGATATTTCGATTGGACAGCTGATACGATCGGGAAAGGCTGCGGTCACTAAACTTCGAGCCAAGTTTTCGATCTCCGCGGTGACGGAGGACATTTCTGGAAAGGTCTAAAACCAAGTTATCAATTATAATCTTAAAATAAGCGAAGAGTTGATTGTGTATATGCATGGATCCAATTTAAATTGAAAATTGAGACTCAAACATTTGCTATTTCTAAAGGCGATCGATTTCAGGGGGTTTGTTTGCTTATTGTTCTAGAAGCGATTTTTTAATTGGTCGCGATTTGTCTTTAATTTGCTAGCATTTTGTTCCTAACGTTTATCGACTATATTATTCATACTCAGTTTTGTATGCAGTCCGTGCGCTATTTTGACCAAATTTTGTAAGCGGTTCGTGCGCTCCGATAGGTTATCAAAAAATAAACCGGATGCATTTAGGCATAACGTACCACGTATTAACTATACGGCAAAAATCCGCCGTTCTGATTGGCCCACGGCGAAACGCAGTACGTTTTGTCCAACTAGGGTCCTAATCTGGTACGGTTTGTCGCCACGTGTTGAAACCACTTACTGGTATATGGCAATAAAACGTTTAAAATAGGAAATATATACGACATTCTTTGACACACTCCGCTTCGAATTACTTAAGCTACAGTAAGTGTAATTCCGCTACAATTAATACCGTATGCTAAAAACTTCATCTTTTTTCGAAGGTTACGCGTTAATTTCTTATATACGCGATATTGGATGTTTACGTGACTCGATAGAGAAAAAAATTACTTAGCACATTCGGAAATTAATCTGGAATTTTGCCTTGAAATTTAAAATGTATTTCTTATGGTAATAATTCTGTGGCCGTGTTGATTATGCGAGCGAATGAACGAATGAATTTGGTTTCAAAACTAATTGAAAACAAAAGATAAAGGGCTACAGTGCAATATTCAGAAAAGAAGAAAATTTCCCACGATAGTACATTGAGCGTTTTAGAAACGGAAGGAATGGACACGGGAAGAAATTCGTACTCTATTCAAACAGGCAACTGAGTCTCTGCAATAAGGGAGCGAACTGCATTAGACGTTACACTTCAAGTAAAGCCAAGGTTTAAAATACAATATTAGCTTCGATAAACACTCTTGAAACAAAATAAGGAAAATAATATTACAGACCTACGCACGGCTGGAACTGTTTCGTAACTGAAACTGGTCGTACTTATTTGTCAATTTCCCTCACACATATTTTAAGTTCACACGCGAATTTTACTACCGAGTACGGTACACTGAACACGTCCCTGAACAGTATTAGTATAATTATTACGATACCTCGACCACTGTTAGACCTCCAGTTCTACCATTTAAAAAGATAGGATAGGTGAGTGAAAAAAATGTTTGCCAGAAAAACCAATAAAAAACCATTACTTTGGCACACCTTTCTCCGACGACTGTAAAGAATAAGGGAAAGTGTGTTGGGCCTGCATTTTCCAGTCAAAGTTGAAAGTTGCTAATGTTCTCAGTCTTTTGCCGTCCACGGCCCACTTATTAAAGATAAGGAACTATTTGCAATTGAGTTGAGTTGTTAGTCCGAATTAAATGAAAACGCCATTTCCAGAATCCAATTTGAATAAAATTTTGATCATTTTGAACTTTCACTGTGCAGAAAATTGGAAATAGTGGAAAGAGTGGAAAGATCAGCAGTCTCAATTTCAGCTCTTGGGATGATCAAGATGGCATTCCTAATTCTTGCAATCATATCCTCGCGGGAAGTTGGCCTTGTTGCAAAAACTATATTCTTAATCCTTCCCCAGAGAGATAAAAATCAAGGCAGGTTAAATCGGGAGACCTAGAAATATTCATTAAGTTTTAATATGTGCGCAATTATGAACAGAATCATTGCAAAAGGCAACATCTAAAGATCCTTGTGTTAAATACTTGCCTTGGAGGCCAAGGGAATAGGCTTCCTCTTCCGATCCAACGGTCAGGGAAGTTGGCATCGCGAACAGCAAGGGCATAATGGGCGGAATAACCATCATGCTGGAAAAACATATTTTGGTGGACGTCCAGCGGAATATCTTCCATTAAAATTGGAAGAACATTTTCTAAGAAATGTAGGTATGTTCGACCATTTAATGCGCCGTCCAAAGTAAATGGACCAACAACCCGCCCTCCAATTATCCCACACCAAATATTTACACTATATCTCCCTTGATGCTGGACTTCCCCAAGCCAGCGTGGATTATTTCGGGACCAAAAGTGCATATTATGTAAGTTTAATTGCCCATCGCTACCGAAGGTGGCTTGTCAGTCCACAACACATTTGAAAGAAACTGAGGATTTTCTGCTACCATGTTTAATAGCCAGTGGCAAAAATCTATCCTTCGGTCGAAATCCGGAGGAGTAAGGGCTTGATGTAAGTTGATATGGAAGGGGGGTCACCTAAAATAGCAAGAAATGTAAAAAAAACCATGGGTTTTATAATTTGACTGTAAAATAAAATAGAATAAACTTTATAAAAACAGGTATACCTCTATATGGTATTTAAAAAAAAAAAAAATGCGCTATTGTGGCCACTTTGTCCGTCCGTCCGTCCGTCCGTCCGCTAACTTTGCGACGCTACTAGTTTTTTATCTTAAGAGCTATTGTTCTACTTTTTCGCTATTTGGTTCGTTATGGTGTCGAGTCTTATTTCCCAAGGAATGCTCTTTTCAACGATACCAAATTTTTACAATCGGTCAAACGGTTAAGTTACAAAAAAAGTTATTGTAAAAAAAACAAAAAACCGCTTTTACATGTTCCATAAATTTTACAATTTTAAGCATTTTTATTAACGATCCTAGAGATCGTTTATAATTTTGCATTGCTATCTGTCGCCTGCCGGTTGGTCTCTCCGTCTGTTCCTTGGTCTGTCTGTCCATCTATTTGTCCGTGTGAACGATAACTTTGTTTAGAAATGTTCGATCGCTTTTACATCTCCGTTAGTTATGAACTGAATTGCATGAAATTCAATATGGGCATAGCTTTAGCCATATAATACGCAATGCCAAAAGTGGAATCGAATCGATTCAAAAACAGTGCCCTTTCGAATGTCACCATTTTAAACAAATTGCGACTTTTTTACTTATAAAAATATTTGAAAAATTTGATACATAGGCACTTATAAAGGAAAATAAACGCCATTTCTTTGGCTTTGCGCATCGCAGAACTTTTTATTTATGGAAAATTTAAACAAATTTGATTAATAGGCACTTTTGAATAAAGGTCAAACGCCAATTTCAAAATTTGGTTTTGGCATTGAACTTTTTTATTAAAGAAAATTTCAAATTTGATCATAGGCCCCTTGGCGGAGAAGGAATTCAACTAAATTAACTATTTTTTTCATGCCAATGAATCTTTGCAATGGTACGTTAATTTGTAATTTACTCGAAGTAAAAATTTGTTACAATCGGTCAAACGGTTAAGAAGTCAAAGCAGGTTTTGCAAAAACAATTGCGCCCCACGCCATCTTTGTTTTCGAAATAACTAGGTTTTTGTTGAAAATGGTAGATACTGGCGCTTTAACAAACAAATTTTTAGTTTATTATGCGAAATTTAAAGTTTTTAAAATTCAAGATGGCAGTTACGCATCGGTAACTTTCATTTTTAGAACTTGAAATGAAATTTTCTCATAAACTGAAATTGATTGTCACGTAAAAAAGTGGATTGCCCATGTGCAATTATCGCATCTTTCATATTGTGTGGCCGGATTTTCCCACCTTTTTTGTATTCCTCATAATGTTCTTGTCTTATTGTCCTCAAAATATATTCTCCATTTTTTTTTTCTTTAAGGCAATTCCATAATTCTGTTTTTTTTTCTGTTGTTATATTTCAGCAAACTCACACTCAGTGCGTGTGGCTACGGTACTTTTCGTTCAATTCTGATTCAGAGGGTCTACTATTTAACTTTTTATCATTGTAGATTTCAATTTCTTTTCTTACTGTCACGTCTTGTACATATTAACTCTTATTAACTCTCACAATAGAATCTATAATTGATTTCTCTATCCCGTTTTTTGATATCTTTTTTATTTATTTATATCCCTCTCTTGTTCTGGGCGCTGCTTTCAACAGGCTTGCGCCCAATTAGAAAGTGAGCCGCATAATGCTTTTTAGGGGTGCCTCTGCGGAAGCTATAATACTCTGGTATTTACCTTACGAACTAGGAAAACTGCAGGAAAACCTAATACGGAGTATCCGACAGAATGCTCGAAACTGGTCTAAGGAAATTCTCTGTCACAGATGAAAAATTCTTACCTCGACGCAGGTTCGAACATTCGACCTCTGGCTTTATAGCCCAATGTTCTACCATTGCGCTAGTACATCGTATTCGCTATTATAAGAGTATTTTATATGCAGTATTTTTTATCAGTCCCTTTCCATTATTAGTCCATTGTTTCCTACTCTTGCACTGAGATCCTCAATACCATGTATGTATTTTGTTGATTAGTTTCTGTCACCTATGTTCCTCGAATTTTATCTATACTATACCAATAAGTTATCTATTATTCTGTAGGTGGGTATGTCATTTTCCATTTTTACAGTATAAGAAGACATCAACCCACTGTCTTATAGATTTATAGTTGTGGAAGATTTAGATATTTAAACAGAAAAATGGTTCATTTGACCACTGGTTCCCATTGTTTTAATCGAATCCGAATTTAGGATTGGACGTTGGTGGGATTGTACTGTATAACAATGTTTGCTAGACCTTCTCCCATTTAAAAGGACGGGGCAAGTGATTTTGAAAAACCTATACCCATCAGACACAGCCTCAAAATCCATTCAACCAATTTTTACCGTTATTTTGACACACCTTTCTTCACTTCTGTGGCTAGGACAGATACCGCCCGCATACCTACGCATGCGCGATTCTGTCCTTTTGTGTTTAAGAATATGCGTACAACATTTGGTTCCAATCGGTTCAGCCGTTTAGTCGGAAATGAGAGTACAGACAGACAGACCGACAGACATATTTTGTTTGGTTCGGAATCCAGGTGCTTCAAAACCTGTATTTCAAAAAGAAAAGTAATTTTTCACCCCAATGCAATACCTCCCTTACTAACGTGCGAGTAGTAATAAGAGGAAAGGGTTTTTTGTCTTGCCAATCAAAGTCCTCAGTCTTTTTCCGTCAACTTGAAGATAAAATGTAACAAAATAAAAATATAATCTGTGATTCAGGCGCGGTCTATTCTAAAAAGGCGCCACAAATTATTTAAGCAGCGATTGGCAATTGCCAAGTTGCTACTACAAATAAAATGAAAATATCATTTTCCAGAATCCAAATTGAATTAAACGTTTATCTTATTGGAACTGTGCAGAAAATTGGACATAGTGATTTGTACAAAATTTATAGCAATTGCATTTTACCTATACCATTGAGGACAGTTACCACACTTTCACCTATATAGGAGTATTAGAAGATTCTGTGCTAGGTTTATAATACCGCTGAGTGAAGCACTCAACGATAATACTTAGATTAGATTACACACTTATCATCGCAGATCGCATCAGGCTCCTAAGCGAGTTCATTTTGGACATTCTACCCGTCCGTCTGTATGTGTGCATGATATCTCGCGAACGGTTGCGAATTTTCAAATTCTGTTTTCAGTACCTATTATGTTTGTCATCACCCAAGGAAGAACTGATTAAATTTTCAGTGACCCAGGAGCTCGTTTACTGTATTTAACACCAAAGAATCGTGTGACTGAACAACTGACAAATACTTCTGCCTAATATATGCAATTTGTATGGTTGGCGGAATAATAATAAGAAAAGATGTGTATAAGAAATTGGTGGAATTAACAATCGTCTGTGTCTTTTGATTTCTATAGCGCATCTTTCTCTGAATAGGTTTAGTATTTCGGGGTAACGAGTGATAAAATGATTCTGCTCAAACCACAGAGTGAGCGTGAGGAGAGTCCGATAGCGTGAGAAAGGGAACGTGGCGTATTTGATTTGTACGTGGAATTGATATATTGCACTAGCTCCCATTTGCTTCGTAGTGCAGTAAAGAAAGAAACTAACGATTAACGATGGCCTTATTTTCATGAATAAAAATCCATTTTGTAGGGGTTAATTCATTGATAAAGGAGATTTGCAGGTATCCATTCTAGGGCTATGGGATTGATTGTTACTTAACGTGGTCCAAGATCTTCCTGTAAAGAAAATAAACTGATTTTCAGTACATGTACTTGAAAAAAGGGTAGTGAACGTAAACTGTACGATCTTGTGGATGTAGTGGAAACCCTATTAAATTAATACAAAACAGGTTTGAACCTGTAAAAAGAGTTGTTAGCGTTACGTTTTTCTTGTACGGATCTATGAACTATGGAAAAAACTTCATAAAAGGGGCAAGAACTCCCCAACAAATTCGTAGAAGGAGAGGTATCCGACGGAAAGATCCATTTTACAGTCCGTATCAGTCCGTACAGCCATAACCACCCCGAATCTACCTATTTTGTATCAATCTCGTAAAGTGTAGAAGGTCATTTTTTCCTTATTCCAATTATGTAAATTTAAAACTTGTTTATCTTGAAGAAATTAGAATTTGGATTGTAGTTTCAAAAATTCTCAAGCAAAAATTCGAATTTGAGCGTTCATATACAGATAGCAATCGTTGGGAAGCCGTTTGTATTCGAGTGGGTTGATAAAAACTAAAATTGCTAAAAACAATTTCCCATTTAAAGTTGTTTTTAATTTTAACAAAGGAAATTTCCAAGTAAGTAAATGAGCCTATGGTTTTTGTATCAACAGTTGGTCGTTGGTTATTATTAACTTTGAATTTAAATTAATGGTAATTCACAAAAAACCGTGGGCACAAAAATTTACCTACTTGCAAAACGGGGTTGTAAGTTGGATCGATTTCATGATTGTTTTTGTCGTCAATATATCCGCATTTCATGGTAATTCCGTGATTACTTATTTAAAATGATATACGAAGAAGTGCCCACAATTTTCAGTAGAATGACAACGCGCATTCGGAAATACGACTTTTAATCCGGCTCCTATTCAATAGTATTGATCGATGAACTTGTAGAAATCAAGTGGCGAAGGTTGTCTCGTCTCCCTGTCCCTTTTCGTTTTCGAGTTAGGCGAGGTACAGTCGAACGGACCATCACATTGGGGGAATTACTTCCGAAACATTCCCCTAAAGGAGCAGGGTTTGAAGTCAATTACCAAAAGAATAAGGAGGAATTTTTAGTAAGTGCGTCACCGTGGTATGTATATGAAGGACTGACCGTGGGTCATATCTGCAATATTTGCTAAAACATTTCAAAAGGTTCATTTTTGGAAAGTCAATATTGTACGCCAAGAAAGGGATGGTCAACCCCCTTAATATCCAAATCTGTGGCAACAGTTTGATTTCAAGAGGTGGAATTATTTTATGCCATCTCTCTTCGGTTAACTCTTCGGAAAACATCGAAACCTTTTGGTTTCATTGCAAAAAGCAACGTTTTTTTGCACTTTGTCATCTCACGTACTTTTCCATTGTCTATTACACCCTGTAATTAGAACGACACCCTGTAAGACGGGTAGGAGTAACCTGCGGAGTCGCGCTAGTATAAATGATTGTTTTTAAATAGGAAACGAGAGTGTGATTACATTCTTATTTGTAATTAATCTTATAACTTTTTTTGCAGATTAATAATCAATTGGATACTGTGGTTTGGTATTCGATTTGTTAATATTCCAATAATAATAATATTGAAGATGGCTAACGTTTCACCCTTCTATCAACAGTAGAGATGGATATGGTACAGGTGATGATCTGTAAGTAACAACTAAAGTCCAAGTGGTGATGCAATTCATCCTTTCTTATAATGAAATTCCTTTTCAATCCATGATACGGCTCCGTATAGACCGCTATAACTGCCGCAATGTGTAAGTGCAGAAAAATCCCATAACCCATACTGAAATATACAATAAAGTACGTCATTGGTCTACTAGCTTGGAAAATGGGTAATCAAACTCAATCATGTCAGAGACCAGCTCTCGAATCCTCTGGAGATACCCACGCTTAGGTACAACAGAAATCATTGTGACAAGGGCGTCTTCACTGTCAATATTCAAAAAATCCGGAACGTCATCGCTCTCTTTCATATTTGTCGCTAGTAGCCAAATCGCAATGAGCAACACAAACCCCGAAAGCTTCCGTAGATGCTCTAATAAGATTGGAAACGGAAGGAGAACCTCAGGATCGCTTCCGAGTTCTCGTAAGAACGATGAGAGGCTATCATAGTATTCGTCTATTAGTTTTGTGTAATACTGTTTTCTCAACTCCCCGTCACTGCTTAGGAAAAGAAAAAACAGTACATCTAAAGCCGGCGAAGCGACACGCATCAATTGCCAATCCAATATGCACAGTTCGGTGGGGTGTTCGGGGTCATCAGAACGCTAAAACATCAAAACTTGTATTTTGTCAGATGGTAACAATCACTCACCCCGTACTTTAAGAGAAGGTTCCGTAATTCCATATCACCGTGTGCCTCAACGGCATATTTTTTATCATCGCTGCTAATAACAAGGCCGCTCTTGTAAATGATTGATGAATCTCTTGCGAATTCCTCTAAAGCCCTCTGCTCCTTTTCATTTTGGTGCGGAGAATACGAGTTCAGCACGTCACTGATCAATCTAGTCATGCCCTTTAGTAAGGGCCCCTGAAAATTACTGGAGAAAAAATACTCATGACATTGATCCTCCCAACTGTCAAAAATCTTCGGCTTTTGATCACGTATTGCGTACGAGAGTGCGTGAAACCTACCCATTTCCCTCATAACAAGCGAAGCGTGGGGATAGTCTACGGGTAGATTATCCCTTGAAAATTTTCGCCATTTTCCAAAATGCTTCCTGATAGTTCGATTGGGCAGTTGATACGATTGGGAAAGGCCGCGGTTACTAAACTTCTAGCCAAGTTTTCGATCTCCGCGGTGATCGTTGACATTTTTGGAAAAGTCTAAGAAGAACACACAAAGTTATTCATTACTGTTTTAAATTAAGCGAAGAATTGATTGTCTATATGCATTGATACACCTTCAAGTTTCAGAGTAATGACGCATGAACGCATTTGGATGTACTTGAAACACTTTGTAATGGTAGGTTCTGTGTGGCATAAGAAACATTAGATGATGATGTGTCGAAGAGGATAGGAATTAGGAAATTTTCCATTTCATTAAAAAACAAATGACGGTCCCTCATGTTGACAGCTTTACTATCATTACTACTATCAACTGCCATATCACAGAAGAAAGTTTCTGGGGTTTATTTACTTATTGTTCCAGAAACTAGTTGTTTTTTAATTGGTCGCGATTTGTTTTTAATTCCCTAGCATTTTGTTCCAAACGTTTATCGACTATATTATTTACACTTCACAAATAGAGAATTTCGCCCAGAGCGTGTCTTCAATTTTGTAAGCAGTCCGTGCGCTATTTTCAGAAAATTTTGTAAGCGGTTCGTGCGCTCCGCCAAGTTACCCAGATAAAAGCCGTTGTCTTATGTGTCCTGAATAGTCCACCACTCGTTTTCTACTAACACAACTATTGTACCATCTATATCATATGTAAATAAACGTATTTTGATTGATTGATTTACTTTTACTATGGGGATCTCGTAAATCGTAAAAGATCCCAAACCGCATAATGGGCAAAGTTTTGCAGAATTTTATGCTGGTTAATTTTCCTTTTCAACGTTTTCTTATAACTCCACAAATAGCGAAGTTACAACCTAAAAACCAAAAAACGGCATTTATTTTCAAAGATATCAAAAATAATTTTGACCAACCCGTTGTACTTGTTTCTCAGGTTCCTACTGGTGCTAAAATAAAATTTGTGACTTGTGGGTTTCGACTAAATCACATTAACTTTCTTATTTCTTATACATCGATTTTTACGTCATATTATAATATAATCGGCGACACCAAATACTTAGCATTCCATTTGGAAGTTAATCTTGAATTTTGCCTTGAAACTTACAATGTATCTCTTATGGAATTAATTCCAAGGCCATGTTGATTATTCGAGAAAATTAACGAATTTAAAATAAAGTATTAACCTCGATTAATACACTCCATTAGTATACGACCAATCAGCTTGGTGATTGTTTCAGCTTCTAACCAATCAGATGTTATTTTAAATGACTAAAAGCTAGGTAGCTTTTTATCAGCGATAAAAATGCGTGTAAGAATGCGTAAAATATATAGCGGTTGTGATATTTACTGCCTTTTATTAATCTCCCTAAAAATAACCCTCTTGGTTTTAAATCAGGATAATTTTATTTAAATTTTGTTGCCTCCTGGAAAAAACTCTCGATCAAAAGCAAATGATAAAATTTTATCACACTTTTGATCTCTAGTTTTTTCCGTTGCAACAAAACTTTCGTGTAAAAATAAAATTATCCGATTAAATATCAAGCTCTTGTGTATTTACCCCCGATTAACACTCTTGAAACAAAATAAGGAAAATACAGACCTAGGGTTGGAACTGTTTTATAACTGACAATGATCGTACTTCTTTGTCAATTTTGTTCACGAGTCAGTTTTTACTATCAAACACGGTACACTGAACACGTCCCTGAACAGGCCCCGTATTTTAAAAATGGCATCAAATCCCACATTACTATTATTATTATTACAAAACCTCGACCTCTGTACTTACATTTAAGAGGATGGGAAAGGTGATTTTGAAAAAAATGCCAAAAAAACACAAACATAACCATTTAACAAATTCTTACCATTACTTTGACACACCTTTCTCCGACGACCGTAAAGAATAAGGCAAAGGGTTTTTAGGTGTTGTCTACATTTTCCAGCCAAAGTCCAGTGAAGGTTACTAATGTCCTCAGGCTTTTGGTGTCCACGTGCAAATTTGCAATTGACAAATTCCAAATTAAATCAAAACATACAATTTCCCAGAGTCTAATGTGAACTAGATGTTAATCATATTTGAATTTCCACCGTGCAAAAAATTGGAAGTAGTGATTTGTGAAAAATGTATAGCAATTGCATTCAACCTACCTACCAACGACTGCACAGAACACACACTCACACGTAGGAGTTATTTATGTGCTCGGGTTATAGATTACGCTCTTATCATCGTAGGTCGCGTAGTTTTTCCATTCGAACTGCAACTGTCAAGTCATAACATTATTATCCGCCTTAGGCCAGTCACTCATAATATTTAGCAGACTTCCATCTTGTAAGTTAGACCCGACGGTTAGTGATAACGATAACCGTACGTGATCCTTGTAAATCGATAATATGCATGTGGAATATGATCGCGAAGGTTCGCTGTTACTTATTAAATGCACCGGGTGATTCAAAATAACTGCAAACAGTTTAAATTTTGACTTAAGGAATTGGCGAACATGTTTAGAAGGTGGTTTATTTATGCATCAATTGTCGACCATTGGCGTCATTTTTGTATGTGAACTTTACAGTGTATATATTTTTCGGTCCAACCCAGTTAAGAGTTCAATAATGGGTAGTGAAAATCTTCTAACTGAGTTGAAATTATATTGGTTACGATGTGCTTGTAAAAGACAAAAGGGGACAAAAGGTACTGTTAAATTATTAAATAGACAAAGTGGCCGTTTCAAAATAGTTGGACACTCGAGGTTAATATTTATTTTCTGGAGGACTGTAGATGAAGGTTGAGGTGATTGAGGTAAAGTAGAGGCGGATCGGAGTGAATATAGTGGAACAAGTAAACCGGATATGCGGCACTTAGTCTTTAGTAAATTTCAAAAGAGAAAATAGAATACTTACCTAAAGGTAGAAACAAGGCAAATTAAGAGAACCTTCTCCTGGTCTTAACACGCTAAAGAAATAAAATACTTGACATGGATAATACATGTCACAATCCAAGGTGATTTAATAAACGATCTCAAAAATATTACAAATAGGACACTGTTATATATAGATCTGCAATGTCAACATTTAAATTTAAATTAATTTTTAGTAGAAAAGGAATAAAACACGTAGTCAGAGTAAGGGCCGATTCTACAATGAAGGTATATACCGAGTATAAGCTATACCTAGAATAAATGTCGACGGTTGCGTTCGTTACCATTTTGTCAACCAATGGCATACATGTTGCTATGGCAGTTATTCCAAGAATATCTTATTCTCCGTAAAAGTGTAATTGTAAAACCGGCCCTAAGTATAACGCGCAAGCTTAGAATGCAGGGCACTATAATATACCATGTGCAATTTGAAATCAACACACGCCGCTGATCGGCCAGCTAGCTCCGTTAGCCAGGTAGTTAACAGCGTAGAGAGATATGCTCTTACTCAGGGTACTAGGTAAGTGAATTAAAAAATTTGACCACAAATTATTATAAAAGGTTCCAAGTAAATCTCCGCCACTAATGGTGCTTCGATTCAAGTCTTTCGGGCGCCACCTAATTCCAAAAATGAAATCTTCCCACAAAAATTAACCCACCAAGAACCCCTGAAGTTATGTGACACCTCGTACCGCTAAGCAACGACAAGTATAATTACTAGAAATTAAAATGAATTGATGTACTATAATCGGTAGCTTGAGGTGTTGTACGTCACCGCTAACGATAAATTGTGTCGGCAATTCCACATGTTCCTGGTGTAACCAAAAATAACTCCTACGGAGGTAACAAAATTGTGCTCCAGGTATATTTCTCTCACGATCTACGTTCGGCTGCCCGAAGATTTTAATGATTCTACGGGATGTTTTACGGCACACTCATCTGCAGTAGGCCGATTATTTCCCCGGATTCAACTGAATATTAACCCCCTTGCAAAAAGTAACCTAATTACGACTACGTTATAACCCACAATAATGCTAATCTCTTATTCAGAGAGTACACAAAAAAAAAGAACTGGATACGTCCCAAACGACTTCAAAATTTACTATATGGTCGGTATTTATTCCCCTACAATAGAAAAAAGAACATCGGTAATCTCAACTCGTGCACAAAAAAACACTTACGGTTTGGAATGCTTGAGTTCTCCGTATTAAGTTCATTTCGGAAAAAATTGTAACCGAACGTCCAAAAACAAATTGTCGGCACAACGGGTAATCAATTGATTAAAGATGCTTCCGCTAAGTATTAACTCAATTCGACCATTGGAAAATATATCAAACACCCAAATTCGGGAATTTAGCATGACCGATTCTATTGCAGGTTGCTGGAAGACGCCACAAGTTTCGAAATTTTACCCAAACCAAAGCTACGGATAGTTTACCTCTGACGAATAGTAGAGCAGTATTTGATACATGACCATATAAGGTAATATAATTGTTAACATAAAAAAAGCAAAACAAATTAAATGTCCTCTAACGACAAGAAGACAAGTTAAATCGGAGAGGCAAACACAGAAATGCAAAAGTAACTAGAAATTATTGGTCGCATTCAAGGACTCGAGAAAATTTAGAAAATATACAGTTGGAAATTGAAATATGGACAGAAATGTTAATATTATTTTATAACTTTTACATAAGTCTTAATATCAAAATAGACTTCGGCAAAAAAATAGAACTATAATTGTTAAATGAATATCAAACAAATGTAGCAATTACAATTCGATTGTATCGAAAACCAGTACGCAATCAAACGTTATTTCGAGGAGTCGTCGAAAATTAAAAAAAAATTACCTTTGAACTTCGGGTCGCAATCTTGTAAGCTCAAAAGGGCAACACAAACAAACAAAAAAAGGAAATCTACTTTACGTTTCACAAATAACTAAATTTCTATCCAACAGCAATACAGAACTTCCTAATGAATTTTCCTTGAGAAACTTCAAAATTCTGCGGTGTTCACTCAGGAATCGCGTAACAATCAGGAGTAGGCTAGAAGTAGGAAGCCTAAAAAATAATTATTCAAAGCCAATTTTTGGTACATACCGAAAACTGACTTAGAACTTGTCAAATATATCCGCAAACTGCGTCAGCGAAGTGTCGAAAGCAAAATAACGAGAGAAAAACTTCACCAAACTTATACAGCCATACAAACCCCGTTAAAAGGTAGACAAAAATGACGAGTAACCAATATGGCGTGTAGGTTTTTCTTACAAATAATGGCTGAATGTGATTTTGTACAAAAAAGTGCGTTCGCCGAAAATAATTAAAACGAATCCTCTGCACGACCTCGGGCGGCAAAAAAAAACTATTGTAATAAGAACCCTACTACAAGAATAATTTACATTTAAATTAGTTGATAACCAAGGGAATACCTAGATGGCGTAAGAATATTGAATATACACGAGAGTAAAATTACTTAAATGGAATTTAAATCGGTAAGAAAATAACGTTGAGCAAAAAATTTAACAGAACCGTGCTGAAATCGAAATGTCAGGGGGGCCGAAGTATCCTGGGACAAATTACTCAAGTATGCATTTCCATGATTGATCAGAGTGTGAGCACAAGTAAAACACGTGGAGAAAGATTTTTGTCACCTGAAGTTTCCAGAAACTTGTCCATCAGTCCTCGTACTATAATTGACGTTTGGGACATTTACGTATAATAATTTTAAGTAATGAGTACCCCGCATCGGTATCACTTGAACAGAACAATTCCCATTTGAGCGCCAACAACGCCTTGGCCTTCAGCTTTAAACGAACAATAAATTTGGAAAGGATTTGAGAGAAGATCGATAACCTACACGAATGATAGGAAATTGTTTGCCCACCTGCGTCGTATCCAATCTATTACTATAGTATGAATAAGATGCGTCATGCCTAACACCTTTTTTTTGCGGCCCATTCCACCCTCGTGGAACAGAATCAATATTGTAATGCAATAAAAAATTAATATTATACACTATTAATACTCGTTTTGTAATTTACATAACACGAATGAAGTGTCAAACCCTTATCACTCTGCATTATTTAGTTTTACTTGCCGTTCGACGCTCCAACTTACGTACGTATTGGTTACAGGCAACCGTGATTACAGTTTTGCTGAATATATTCCATTAGGACAAAACTGGCAGTAAAAGTTCTGTGTTACAAGGCTAATTTCGTGCCAGTATGCGAAATGAAAGGCTTTGTATCACCTCGGAGCTCTCGAGGGATTTTAATAACGCTTCATTTTGGGGTTAGCACGCGTTACTGAATTAGCTACATGTTTTGTAATGTATTATTCCTGAGCTGTTCAACGAGAGCTTGATCAAAAGTTCTGTTTGGCTTAATATTCAAATCTCCGACATTCCAACTTTGGAATCTCCTAGAACATTTTTCCACGCGGGTTTTCATTAATTTCTGTCTGTTATTTCGTCGGACGTCTCTATTTTATTTTTGGACTTTCAGCTACGGCTGGTAAAAATATCTGGTACAAAGGTAGAAAACATTTCGCGATTTATGTCAACCTTCGAATACTAACTTAAAGCAAAGGAGAAATAAATTTCATCACTTGGGGTATTCCGAATACAGCACATTGTCGAAGCACAATAGCCGTGGGGAATCGAATTTGAGAACTTTTCAATTAATATCGGGTGGTCTGCGTTTGTATCTGCGTTTTCAAATCATCGATAACTTGCGATATTACTTTCAGTGCAATGTAACTCAGTTACTGTTGGCCAATTAGTAGGTACTTAGTACTTATAACTCATGTTTTATACTTACAGAAGTTGTATCGTGGTGAATAAATTTCCGTTAGTCGAAGGAAGAGCTCCAGTTCCAGGTAACTACCTCAAGAATTGCGGGATGTGCGTAAGTGGTAAAGATCTCATTTTCTCAGTTTTGCGCTCATTACACGGAACGGAAATGTTACGTCGTAGCGCGAGATGAAAATTGAAGCTTATTCCATTTGACACAATTTTGCTTGAATAGATACATACTTAGGAAATCCGAACCATTTGCGACATGTAGTGTAATAGTATATTTCCGGAAAAACACATTTTCGTCTATCACAAAAGGTTCGTCTTGAAGGTTTTACAGCATTACATTTCCTTCAAAGATTTGATAAATATTGCTATGTGCAGTGGCAAACGGTCACCCGCCAGCACTTGTTCAGCTAGCTCAATTAAGTACATGTA